TATCACATGACCTCAAGAAGAGAATGGTTCCATCATATGAACCTGTCTCAGGAGGATCTGTGTATAGTGTAATGATCATGCCTTAGAGATCGTTGGTGTGGGAAACCATCAAATTGAAGATGTATGATGGAACAATTAAAGTTGTTCGAGTGCGGCACGTGAAAGGTCTGAAGAAAAATTTATTATCCTACGGATTGTTGGATAATAATGCTAGCAAGATTGAAACACGGAAATGAATCATGAAGGTGTTCCGTGGAGCGCTTGTGGTGCTGAAAGATGAAAAGATAGCTACAAACTTGTACATGCTGAAGGGAAAGACATTGTTAGAAGCAGAAGCCTCTAAGAAAATTATTATCCTACGGATTGTTGGATAATAATGCTAGCAAGATTGAAACACGGAAATGAATCATGAAGGTGTTCCGTGGAGCGCTTGTGGTGCTGAAAGATGAAAAGATAGCTACAAACTTGTACATGCTGAAGGGAAAGACATTGTTAGAAGCAGAAGCCTCTGTTGCCTCATGTAGTTCAGATTCTGCAATGCTATGGCATAAGAAACTTGGACACATGTCAGAACAAGGAATGAAAGTCCTTGTGGAGCAAAAGCTACTTCCAGGCTTAACAAAGGTATCACTTACTTTGTGTAAGCATTGCATAACAAGTAAGCAGCACCGGTTGAAATTTAACACATCAAATTCTAGAGGCAAGAGTGTTCTAGAATTGGTTCACTCTGACGTATGGCAAGCACCAGTAACATCCCTAGGTGGAGCAAAATACTTTGTCTCATTTATTGATGACTACTCCAGGAGATGTTGGGTACACCCTATTAAGAAGAAGTCAGACGTTTTTTCAACTTTCAAAAACTTTAAAGCGCGGGTGGAACTTGATTCTGGAAATAAGATCAAGTGTTTCAGAACAGATAATGGAGGAGAATACACAAGCGAAGAATTTGATGACTTTTGCAAGAAAGAATGCATCAAAAGACAGTTCACAGTGGCGAACACTCCTCAACAAAATGGAGTGGCAGAGCGGATGAACATATCCTTGTTAGAAAGAACAAGAGCAATGTTGAGGGACGCATGCCTAGAAAAATCATTCTGGACAGAAGCAGTCAATACCGCCTGTTATTTGGTGAATCGAGCTCCATCAACTGCAATAGAGCTGAAGACACCAATTGAAATATGGACTGGTAAACCAATTGATTATTCAAACCTCCATGTATTTGGAATTATTATGTACGTGATGTACAACGCCCAAGAAATTTCAAAGCTGGATCCAAAATCCAGGAAATGCAAATTCTTGAGGTATGCTGATGGAGTAAAGGGGTATCGCTTGTGGGATCCCACTGCCCGCAAAGTGATCATTAGCAGGGATGTTATCTTTGTAGAAGATAAACTACAAAGAAAAGAAGACGATGATAGCGTTGAAAAGTCAGAGACTACTCAGATACATGTGGAAAAAGAGTTTGAAGAAGGAGATTCTTCTGAAGCAGAACCAGCACATGATGAACAAGAACCAGAGAGTTCTGAAGCTCCAACAACTCGTCAATCAGATCGTGTGAGAAGACGTCCCAATTGGCACTCAGATTATGTTATAGAAGGTAATATTGCATACTGCCTTTTAACAAAAGACGGTGAGCCATCAACATACCAGGAGGCAATAAACAGCTCAGATGCTTCATTGTGGATGATGGCGATGCAAGAAGAAATCGAAGCCCTTCATAAAAATAATACATGGGACCTTGTGCCACTACCACAAGGAAGGAAGCCAATTGGTAACAAATGGATTTTCAAAATCAAGAAAAAATGGTGACGATCAAGTGGAGATGTATCGTGCAAGACTGGTGGTCAAAGGATATGCTCAGAAAAAAGGTATTGATTTCAATGAAATTTTTTCTCCTGTGGTTCGACTAACAACAGTTCGAGTAGTCTTGGCAATGTGTGCTACATTGAATTTACATTTGGAACAGCTAGATGTTAAAACAGCTTTTCTTCATGGAAATCTTGAAGAAGAGATTTATATGCTCCAGCCTGAAGGTTTTGAAGAAGACGAAAAGAAGAACTTGGTTTGCAGGTTGAACAAATCTCTGTACGGTCTAAAGCAGGCGCCGAGGTGTTGGTATAAGAGATTTGATTCCTTCATTATGTGCCTTGGATACAACAGACTTAATGCAGACCCTTGTGCTTATTTCAAGAGGTCTGGTGATAACGATTTTGTTATATTGCTGTTTTATGTGGATGACATGTTGGTTGCAGGACCCAACAAAGATCATATTGAAGAATTGAAGGCACAACTGGCTAGTGAATTTGAAATGAAGGACTTGGGATCAGCAAACAAGATTCTAGGGATGCAAATTCACCGAGACAGAAGTAATAGGAAGATTTGGCTTTCACAAAAGAATTACTTGAAGAAAATCTTGTCACGATTCAGCATGCAAGATTGTAAGTCAATTTCTACCCCTCTTCCTATTAACTTCAAATTATCCTCCAGTATGAGTCCTATCAGTGAAGAAGAGAGGATGGAGATGTCTCGAGTACCGTATGCATCAGCAGTGGGAAGTTTAATGTTCGCTATGATATGCACAAGACCAGACATTGCACAAGCAGTGGGAGTGGTTAGTCGGTACATGGCGAATCCAGGGAAATAGCATTGGAATATTGTAAAGAGGATCCTAAGATACATCAAAGGGACCTCAAATATTGCATTATGTTACGAAGGATCAAACTTATTAATCAATGGGTATGTAGATCTGACTATGCATGAGATTTGGATAAAAGCAAATCTACTACAGGATATGTGTTCAAAGTTGCTGGTGGAGCTGTAAGCTGGGTTTCAAAATTGCAGTCAGTTGTGGCTACGTCCACAACAGAGGCAGAATATGTAGCAGCTACACAAGCCAGTAAAGAAGCAATTTGGTTGAAGATGATATTGGAGGAGCTTGGGCACAATCAAGAGTTTGTCTCTCTATTTTGTGACAGTCAAAGCGCCTTGCACCTAGCAAGGAATCCAGCATTTCATTCAAGGACAAAACACATACGAGTTCAATACCATTTCATTCGTGAAAAGGTGGAAGAAGGGACGGTAGATATGCAGAAGATCCATACCAAAGACAACATAGCAGATTTCATGACGAAGGCGAACAATACCGATAAATTTACTTGGTGTCGATCCTCTTGTGGCCTGTCAGAAACGTAAGCAACATGATGGTACAAGGTAGAAAGAATGGTGAAGATATGATTGTTTCAATCAAATCTTCAAGTGGGAAATTGCTGAAAATTAAACCAACTTTCGGTGGAAAGTTGGATTTAATTAATCCACCGAATGGCAAATGTCAAAAAGGGTGGATTTTTGTTGAAAATTAACAATGGTAGAAATGCAATTTTAGTCATTGTAATTTAGGGTATTTACAAATTAATTCTTAAGCTTCAACTATAAATACCCTAGCTCATTTAGCTTCAAAACCATCCCAAAGCATTCTAGCTTTCTTCCAATACTAGAGAGATTTTAGAGAGTTTCTTGAGAGTTGTTTTCTCCTTTTTATCTAGAGAGAATTATCATTGTTTTCTCCTTAGTAGATCGAGAGAGGTTGTAATTCCTATTTTCTCATAGTGAAATTCTTCTATCGTTGCCCGTGGTTTTTACCCTAATTTTTAGGGGTTTTCCACGTAAATTTTGTGTGTCTTTTATCTTCATTTTTATTTTCTCAAATTATCAGTTGCGATTTTGCTCTATCCGACAGCCGTCTTCCCCACAACATCGGTGTGGAACGGTTGCGTCCTACGTGGCGATCCCAACAGTATCACCGTTGGATTCTGCTCCAATGTGCAGGAACGCTGTGTAATTCACGCCGCTGGGTCCTCACCTACCGGTAAATCTTTCATTTTTCTTCAAACCAATTATGTTAGAATATGTCCAGTGCAGCTGAAAATTAAGGAAACAAAATTTTATAGTTTGTTCAATCCGGGTTTATAGGAGCTCTTGGTGTCAGTATAACATGGAATAAACTAGTTTACTCAATGGAAGGAGAAAGATTTTGTTCTTTGTTTATGAGTGTTGCTGTCAGATGCAGAAGCATTTGATTAAGCTTTCGTTTTTAGCTTTAGCCTCATTTTTCTGATGATACTTCAAGGATCAACGACAATATGATTGTTAAAAATGTAAATGTTGATGCGAAGAAAACTGGGTTTATTCTAGACAAACGAGGCAAACGAATTGCAATAATCAATCTAAGCTGTGAACATGATCCTTTTTAATGTTTTTCATTGTGGGATATCACAAGATGATATACTGGTTACAAAATGGGGATAAATAAAGACACAACCTATCAATCAAACTTATATAAATTTCTTACTCCATTCCCCAACTCTTCAAGATCACCATTCCATAGAGTTTTCATTTTCTTCTCCTTTCCTAGTGGATGGATAGAGAGATGGAAGCTACCATATCATCTTTTATTCAGAATACGTGACTAAATGACAGGTGTTGGAAGTTGAGGGAAGGATTTATCGCTTTTATAATAATGAGTGAGATTATTCACCCACATTGTATGTAGGAGGGTGCTTTTATAATAACGATTTCACAAGTCTCTGACCTTTCAAAGATTTCTTGTTCTTCACAGGCACTTCTATTATATTTTCAGCGCTCTGATATTTTCAACCTGCTCTTGCTTGTGCTGCTACATGTATTTCTGAAAATGCCCTTCTTTTTTCACGTGAACATGGGTTGACTTGCTAGAACTGGTTCATTCTTGAATCTTGTTTTCTCATCTTTTGCTACCACTATTTTCGAGTGTGGCTCTTCGAACCTGCAATCTATTGCTTGGTTGCAAGTCAACCTCATTTGTGTAACTGGAGATATCTTCTTTCATTTGTTGCAAAAATGATTCATATAAAACCATGTTTTAGGTAGAACTTTTCTTTGTTTTGTCCCTGCTTCTCTTAGGGATCAAGTCAATTTCTGTACCTCTTTGGCATCATCATGCAGTTACTATTTTTTATTACAGGGCTCCCGGCATAGACATCAATCGAGAGGTTTGTGACAGTTGGTGCATACAGTATCTTGAGATCATGCACAATCCAACCAGAGTGCAGTATCGGACAGCATTATGTTCTTATGGAAGGTTCACTGGTGGAGACTCACTCTATCCTTGAAGCCAGTTCCGTAGTTCCACCAGGTAGGAGAATCCCAACTGGTGAGCTTTGGGCAGGAAATCCGGCTAGGTTTGTTCGAGCTCTAACCCATGATCTTAGCAAAGAATATTTCTCAGAGTTCCTTCCATACTCGACAGCATATTTGGAAGTTGAGAAGTACAAGAAGTCCCTGGGAACTAGTATTTGATTGCTTTCTTCTTGTCGTTTTTCATTTCTTTTTTTCAGTTTACCGGATTTTTCCTGTTGATTGCAAGGAAATAAGCTGTCAAAGTACACATACAATGGAATATTGTTTTAAGAACAACATTCAATAGATTTGACATTCTAATCTCGACATCTCCGAATCATCAACTCTTTTGTAATCTAAAAGAAAATGAAAACTACTAGAGCGCCTAATGAACATAAATTAAGTGATTGATTATATGCAGTCGATAAGTAACATCGGATTAAAAAAACGTAAAACAAGTCTGAATCCAAACCCGAAAAAGGAAATAACGAAAGGGAAGAGTTTGAGGGGGGCAAAGTTTCCAAATTTCCTACTGCCAGTGAAAGGGAAGAGTTGGAGGGGCTTCACTTCCAGATGATTCACCAGAATCCAAGTGAAACATTCCTGAGCCGTGGACCGTAGTAGTCGCGCTGACATTGGCAATAACTGAACCCATTGGCTCTATAATGTAGTTTCGCAGGCTCGGACCCATGGATTGCACTGAAGGGAATGACTGAGGCTGCACCGTGTTACTTGAACCCATCCCAGATGTATGTGACAGTGGAGTCGACAGAAGAGAGAGAGCACAATCTGAATCCTGAACTTGAGGTGTTAACCTGTCACACAACAAGCTATGGCAGCTCCCATTGCCTTCAGAGAAAGGCGCAACATCCCCGAGAACTGGCTGGCAAACGGAAGCTTTCACAGGTGTTTGATCCTCCCCTTGCAGGAACGTGCATTGCTTACCTTCTCTGTAGTTGCTTGAAGAGGATCCTAGAACAAGGTTTTGTTTTGCAGGCGAGTTTATTGGCTGCTTCGGGTTAAGACACCTAGATTCGGCCACGGAGTTGTTTACTCCAGGCCAAGTAGCTTTCACCACAGCAGTGGATGTATATACTTGCAAACTAGAGAATGGCAACATCTGGGAATCTGAAATGTGGAATTTGAATTGATTCAAACAAGGTTATTACGTATAAAATAAGAGCATAAATTCATTCATAGTTAAAAGCACCGAAAATCGAGTTCATTCAAGCATCATACTCATAAGATAACCTTGGTAATTGGGGAAACAACTTCGAGAACGTAAGAGGGGATCTGGCTGAGGCTTCCTTCGCCTCCGGTTATGCCTGTCGAGACGCGTCCTGCAGCTTTTCTTCCCATCATCGAACTCCTCCAGTGAGTGAAACCTACAAAAACACAGCAAAGTGACCGTCGAGCAATTCGGGAAACTGCTAAGGTCCAACCTCGAAAACAGATGGAACTGAAATACTATAAATCATACTTGCATAACAAGAAAACAATGCCAAACATTATCCCATACAAATATCATCATTGAGTTATTGATAAAAAACAAGTATCTACACTCATTCGAATCTCATTGGTTCAAATCATCTTGCAAAAAGTTCAAGTAATCGTAATCACCTGCTGCATTGTTGACAAAAACGCTGCTTTAGGCCATTGATCAAAACTTCTGCAGTCTTAGAGTGGAGCTCACATACCTTATGGCGCCTATGGTACTCCCTACACTTGCTAAGGTCCGAATCGCATTCATCAACGATGCACGAAACCGAACGAGTCCCGATGTCGTTCATTCGAGCCTTCTTCGAACTCGAAGACTCCGGGCTCAAAACTCCAGGCTCCTTCCATCTGTCAGGTGGAATTTCTCCTGAATTTCCCACTTGACCAAGCTCCAAATCAACACTGAAATCCCCTTTAGAGCGAAGAAATTTACAGCCACTTGGTCCATTGCCATTGGTTGCATCTGTGTTTGTCACAGTTTCCTCAACAAAATCACTCAAATCCCATGAAGCAGCTTTCAAGTTCCACTCCATTAAACAACAAATCCTTCACTTTCAACTGTTTATGCTCGCCTAACAGGAAACTTTTCAACAATTATATAATAAAAAAGGTCAATCCATGCATTAAAAAGAAAACCCTTTTAAAAAAATGGAAATAATAAACAAATAAGAAAAAGGGTACTCACAGTTGCAGACAAACAAGAGTTGTTTTCTCTTTTCAAGCCATCGACACGTTGACATCATGGACTGCATTAAAATACAATTGAAAGTAGCCAAAAAGCATGAGAAAATCAGCAGGAAAAAAGAATTAATTGCATGAAAGGGAAAGGGATTTGAGAAGAAACAGCTTAGTTTAAATAATTATATATATGTAGAGATAGTTTGAAACATGGAATGATGTTGAGAAAGAAGGGAGAATAGGGAACAGCCTGTCTGTTGCTTTCAACTTCTTATTTCTTCAAAAATAAAATACAAAGAGAAAACTTGGAAAGTACAAAAGATGGATGCCTGGCAAGGACAAGTGTGTTTCACATTTCATAGCATGTTTTCTCTATTTTTCTAAAACCAAGTTTTTCTTCTTTTCTTATTAATTTTTTTCCACAAATTATATTTTGAACACTCTTCGGTCTTCAACACTTAAAATTTGGTGATATTAATTTAATTGATAAAAAAATATTTTAGTAAATAAAAAATTTAAATGATAAAATAAGAAAAATAATAAAAAGTTATTCTAATACACACAAAATTTATTGGTGAAAATTTGAAAGCTATTATTTTTATTTTGACTTAAACTTTACTATATTTAATTCTCTTTTAATTAAAATGTATTTTTCCATTGAAAATTTGAAAATCTAAAAATATATGGTGATTTGATTGAGGGCCCTTAAAATGTGAATTATGCAGCTATCTTTTTGGCTTTTTTATAATTAAGTATAAAATATATTTGATTTATTTATGTACGAAAATGACCCCTTCTTCCCTCTATTTGTGGCTTTGTTTCTTTTCTCAGCCGACACTTTCCTCTACCCTCTTAGAAAAAAATCTCCATTCCGCTTAACTTAATAATGTTAACACATATCCTTGAGTCGAGTTACATTTAGATTTATTTCATTTCTGAAAAATAGATATTGAGAGATGAATATAACATTTAGATTTGGTAAATTTTGATATAATTTTTTAAAATTATTTTTTAAAAAGTTATTCGAATTAAATTTAAATTTGGAGTAAAAATCTTTCATTCAATTTGATATAATAATATAATTATCTTTTATAAATTTAGGAATGATAATAATAATATTTATTAGTTTTTTCATTTGTTTTTAAATTGAATATATATTTTTTACACCCAACCTAAGTAAGATAAGTGAAAAGGAAGAATTAGAGGTGTTTAAATGGTTGGGTGTGTCTCGCTAATCAAATTAATCTAAAAAATTTTCGTATTTTTTATTTGAGTTAAAAATTAATTAGGTCTTGACAATTTAATGAGTGTAGATAAAAATAATTGAATCTTGATTATTAATGGATTTGAGCTTAAAATATATATAATATTTTACTTAATTCAATTAATTAATCAATTTTGAATCGAATTAAACATCAGCCAAGTATTGAAAAAAAATTAACAATCCTTCGGTCAAACTAATCTAGTGGCGGATCATTTTAGCATGATTAATTAAACAACAAAATAGAATACTCAAATCAGCTAAAAACTTCAAGCCTTACATGTTCATGTCCGTCTCTAGTTGTATGACAAGCTTAAATCCGGAGTATCGAGTCAATTGAATTTTAACTTTTATTTTAAATATTTTTAGCCCCAAAAATATAAAATTCATACTGATTAATCAAATTTGCTATTATTGTTTATGATTATTTTTAATTGAAGAATTATTTTAAAAAAAAAAACAGAACTACATATATGTAAATGGGTCTGGCAAACAGACAAGTCAGAAGAATAATAAATTGATGTGTAATAATTATGGAAGAAACTGTTAATTGTGATCCAAATGTATTAATATATGTTGGTTGTGAACGTACTACACACTTAAATTCAACTCATTTATATTTGTAGTCGAGACTCAGAGCGTCATTACAAGTATAATTGTACACAAAATCATAATCAATATATTCCTAAAATTATAATCAAGAATTAACATAACAACATTTTCGGATGAAAACCATATCTATAAATAATCAATGGAACAAACATGCCACACTGAACGTGTCAAAATTTATATAACATTAATCAGAATCTTACTCAAAAACACACTATTTCTGATCAAACTTGTGGGAAACCAAGAAAAATAAAGGTACCTCTGGGGGAAACTATGGTATTTCTATGTCATCCTCTGTGCAGCTTCTTTTGCAAGAAGCTTCTCCTTTGCCTTGGTTCTGGCCTGTGACTTGGACCCCATAATGCTGCCTCCCCACTTCTTCCGGTACTCATCGTACTTGTCGTTGAAGTTCGCCTGTTACATAGGTTGAAAAGTTCATTGTAACTCTGTAACTATTTTTAATATATTTTGGGCTGGGACAGTGTGGGTTTATGGTGGATATGGTGGAGATATTCGAGTGTTGGGTCAGACCAGGTGAGGTGAGGTGCAATATTTACCTTGATGGCCTCGTGGATTTTGCTGAACTCCAACTTATCCTCGTTCTTAAAGGTGGTCAAGCATAAGACGGAAGCCGTTTTCTAATGGACAATCTGCCGTAGTAGTATGAACATAAATAAGTAATCTACTCGCTTTAACTCTATAAATGTTTGAAATGCATATAAATGCAGAAGACAAATACCGATCCCAAACGTGATTTTCCCTTGAAGATGCAGTAGGGGACCTCCATCTTTCTGCACAATGCGGGGAGCCATACTACCAATTCTATGGGATCCACATCATGAGCAATAACAACCAATTGTGCCTTGTTCTGTAGAGGATATAGCACAGAAAGTAAATATCATTACTTTTTATGACTTTGCAATGAACAGAATGCATGGAGCCACACCAGATAAAACAGATGAAATTATGAAGAAACTAAAGGGCAACCTGCTCAATAAGGTAGGTAACATGGTTAAGTCCGTATATTACAACGATTGGTTTCTTTGATTCGGGAGCTTTTCCTTCAGCTTCAGCCTGGGCCTTTTTCAAGAGACGTTCCTTCTCGCCACCTTGTCCTCTGGTCTGTACTTGAGAAGAAACTTGAAGAGACTTGTTGCTGCATCATGCCAGGAAATAACCAATGTATTATTACAAATTCATGAATGGAATAAAACATGGGATGGAAGAGGCTATAAAAACGAAGAATTAACAATACCACAGGATGCAAGAACAAACGCAGAAGAATTCTCGGGTTGACATGAATAGATTTAACATAAATGAAACAAGCCGTTCAGTATTCATGCATTTAAGCTGAAAACCCATAATTCAATCAAACTAAAACTTGAGAATGTAATTTGTAAAAAGAAGTGAAGATTTTATAGCATACCAAGGTTCTTATCAAGAGTTTTAGTAAACTGGTTGAGTGCTGGTGGGACCTTCGGCCTCTGCTTAAGAATCCTCTTTTTCCTTTTAATGCGAACAACCTTAGGCCACTTCACAAACCGATGCAAATCCTTCTTGGGAGGTAAAGCCCCACCGATACCGAACTGCTTTGGGCGCTTCTCAAACAATGGATTGACAACCTTCTCCTAGTATCCAAAATGAGGCACTAGGGGTGTAAAAAGTTGATCCGACCTGTAAAACTGACCGAAACCGACTCAAGTAAAAATTGTTTTTGACCTGCGTTGTGGCGATCCGAAACCGATTCGAGTTGGAACTGGTGTTGACCTAAACCCGAGTTGAACCTGGAAATTATGGATCTGAACCCGACTTGCATCCGACCTGAGAATGACCTGAACCCGAATTGAACCGAAGATATGATACCCGAACCTGAACTGCATCCGACTGATATGAACCCGAACCCGAGATTGACCTGGTAAATAATTGGTATTACCCGACCTGTTTTCAACCTGACCTGTTATGAATCTGACCTGTAATTGACTCAACCTGTAAATGATCCGACATGTTAAAATGATCTGATATTATCTTGACTTATAAGTGAAGTTACAATTAATATAATTATGTTATTTTAAATTTATAATAAACTTATGATAATTAAATTAATATGATTACATTTTGAAATTTAGTTTTTATATTAATTATAATTTATATATTATAAATTTGGTTTTTATATTAATTTCAACTCTTTATATTATTTATATTTCTTATATTATAAATTTTATTTACAATCACTAAATTAAATTTAAATATTGTTTTATTGAACTTGATTTTATTAAATTGTATTAATTAAATTTAAATATTCATAAATCTAATTTAATTTTAATGTGAAAATTGATTAATAATTTAAGTATAACTTAACTTGAAATTTTAAAATAAAAATATATTAGTTGAAATGATGAACTTATTAAATATTTGAAGCTTAAATAACATTACAAATACTAAAACAAAAAAATTATAAATAAATTTATAAATGAAATTAATTTTATTATACTTGAAAACACTAAAATTACAATAAAATCAACTAAACAAAATAAATTTTTGAAATAAATAATCTCAAATCTTATAGCTAAAGTTTTACAAAACTAAAAGTCTAACTATACAACATGTTTAATTATAGACAACTTTCTAGCTTTAAAAATCAAAATGCCACCAACATAATTCCATGAGTAACTATTTAGATAAGAATTTATAAGGTTCAAAAATTGATTTAAGTCACACCAACAATAATTTACAAGGCATCAATGAGTAATAGAAAGCAACAACCGACAAGCATTAATGAACCAATTCATCAAGCATTATTGCATCAATTCAGCAAGCATCCTGCATTAAGAAAATATACAATCAATCGTAAAGCCAAAAGAAATTCGATGGCCAACAGTGTCAAACATTTCTGACTTTGAAAAAAATCAACTTAGAACGAAATAAAGCAACCGAGCATGCAGGTGAAAACCCAACAGAGCCAAGAGTACCTCATCAATGACTAGAACATAAACCTCCTCTTCAATGATATTTGCCAATAAACCATGGTTCCAGACTCGGCCAAAACCACCCTGACATGAAAAATAAGATTATAAACTCCTAAATCTTTTTATCAATTAACAATAGACTCTAGATTAGATAGGCCTGGCGCTATATCAAAACAAACAAATTTTTGTATTTTTCACTGCATTTGAAAAACATCAATTTCCAAAAGCAAAAGCAAACATACCAAATTATGAATAGACCGGTTCAAAAT